AGGGGGAGTGGGAGAGGGAGAAGCAGGCTCCCTGCTGAGCAGGAAGCCCGATGAGGGGCTTGATCCTAGGACCCTGGGATAATGACCTGAGCCAAAGGCAGACGCTTAACGACTGAGCCACCCAGGCACCCTGTTTTCTTTTTTAAAAAGATATATTTATTTATTTGAGAGAGAGAGTGTGTGCACATGTGAGTGGGGAGAGGGGCAGAGGGAGAGAATCTCAAGCAGACTCCCCACTGAGCGCAGAGCCTGATATGGGGCTTGATGCCATGACCCATGAGATCATGACTTGAGCCAAAATCAAGAGTCTGATACTTAACCGACTGAGCCACCCTGGTGTCCCTGGGATTGTTTTCTTAATTTCTATTTCTGATAGCTTTTTATTAGTGTATCGAAACACAACCTGTTTCTGTATGTTAATTTTGTACCCTGTGGCTTTACTGAAATCATTAATTAGTTCTCAACTCTCTTTGGTGGAGTCTTTAGGGTTTTCTATATATAGCATCATGTCATCTGCAAATAGTTTTACTTCTTCCTTTCCAATTTAGATGCCTTTTATTTCTTTTACTTGCCTAATTGCTATGGCTAGGACTTTCAATACTATGTTGAATAAAAGTGGCAAGAGTGGGCATCTCTGTCTTGTTCCTGATCTTAGAGGAAAAGCTTTCAGCTTTTCACCATTCAGGACAATGTTAGCTGTGGGTTTATCACATGACCTTTATTATGTTAAGGTATGTTCCTTCTTTTTTTTTATTTTTTAAAAGATTTTGTTTATTTGAGAGAGAATGAGAGAGAGCATGAGAGGGAGGAGGGTCAGAGGGAGAAGCAGACTCCCCGCTGAGCAGGGAGCCCGATGTGGGACTCGATCCCGGCACTCCAGGATCATGACCTGAGCTGAAGGCAGTTGCTTAACCAACTGAGCCATCCAGGTGCCCCAAGGTATGTTCCTTCTATACCCACTTTATTGAGAGCTTTTATCATAAATAAATATTGAATTTTGTCATATGTTTTTTATGCATCTTTTGAGATGATCATATGATTTTTATCTTTCATTTTGTTAATATGTTGTATCACCTTGATGTATTTGTGGATGTTGAACCATCCTTGCATCCCTGGAATAAATCCTGCTTGATCATGGTGTATGATCCTTTTTATATATTGTTGAATTGGATTTAGTAATATTTTGTTGAGGACTTTTACATCTATGTTCATCAGGGATATTGGCCTGTAATTTTCTTTTTTTATAATGTCTTTATCTGGTTTCAGTATCAGGGTGATTCTGGTCTTGTAAAATGAATTTGGAAGCCTTCCTTCCTCTTTCAATTTTTTTGGAATAGTTTGAAAGGATAGGTACTAACCCTCCTTTAAATGTTTGGTAGAATTCACCTGTGAAGCCATGTGGTCCTGGGATTTTGTTTCTTAGGAGTTTTAAAATTACTGCTTCAATTTCATTACTTGTAATTGGTCTGTTCATATTTCTATTTTTGTGTGATTTGGTCTTGGAAGGTTGGGTTTCTAGGAACTTACCATTTCTTCTAGGCTGTCCAATATGTTGGTATGTAATTGTTCATACTGATCTCTTATGATTCTTTGTATTTCTCTGGTGTCACTTGTAACTTCTCTTTCATTTCTGATTTTTAAAAAATTTATTCATTTGTTTGTTTATTATTGATGAGTGTGACTAGAAGCTTACTGATTTTATTTTTTCAAAGAACCAGGTTTTAATTGATCTTTTCTATTGTCTTTTCATCTCTATTTCATTCATTTCCACTCTGATCTTTATTATTTCCTCCTCCTACTAACTTTGGGCTTTGTTGTTTTTTCCGTTCCTTTAGATATAAAATGAGATTGTTTGTGTGGCATTTTTCTTGTTTCTTGGGGTGGGCCTGTGTTGTTAAGTCCTTCTTTCTTAGAGCTGCTTTTGCTGTGTCCCATAGATTTTGGAAAGTTGGTTCCATTTTATTTGTCTGCAGGTAGTTTTTTATTTCCTCTGTGAGTTTTCCTTCATCCTTGGTTGTATTTTTTCCTCTCTGCTTACAGTGGATCGGTGGGTCCTGACCTGCTGTGGCACACTCAGCTCCCCTCCTTCCCACTGCCCACCCTGGCTGACCCACAGCATGAGTATGCATGTGGGCGGTCCACTACTTTCTATATAATTTATTGTGTTTCTAGCCCAGTTATTAGAAACAGTATCAGCCACAAAGAGTTAGAAAATAAAAACTTTTAATTGATACCATTTACCATAGCATCAAGAAACATCATAATCTAGGCAAAAATTTAATGAAAATGTGCAAGACTTCTACACTGAGATCTAAAACGCTATTCCAAGAAATTAAAGAAGACCAAATAAAGGGAAGGATGCCATGCTTATGGATTAGAAAGCTCAATGTATGAAGATGTTGGTTTTCCCAAATTGATGTATAGATTGAATGAATGAAGTGTAGTCCCAATCAAAATCCCAGTACGGTGTGTGTGTGTGTGTGTGTGTGTGTGTGTGTGTGTAAATTGACCTACAAACCAGCAGAAAAGTGGGCAAAATACTTGGACAGGTACTTCACACAAGTAGTTCCAAATGGATAAGTATATGAAGAAGTATGAGAAATATGTCCTGTATTCGTATATACAGAGAAATGCACATTAAAAGTGCAGTAAGAGGCAACTATACTTTCAGCAGCATCGACTGACAACATAAAACGTTGGAAAGATGTGCAGCGCAAGACCCCTCTTACACCGTGGGTGGGTGTATTAACTCGTAAACTTAACTTGTATACTGAACATGGGTGTTCTAGAAGTATGAAACGTTGAGCACGATTGGAGCATAGCTTCAGTGAATCATGATCCCGAGTGTCTTTGTGAAGTTTTGCCATCTACCCACTTAGCCACAGAAAGTTCTCTTCTCAGTACAGAATTCCTGTAAGATCTTTGATAGGTAGATGTCCAAGAAGCACCACATGCATGGTATGCATTTCCCTGAAGCATATAGTATTTGGGCGTTCTAATGATAAATCTAACACGGAGTATTTGAATAACGTTAGCAAATAGAGTAAATCACCAATGAATGAGCAGGTGTTTGTGCTTTGTTTTTTATGATGCTGTTGTCTTTAGGTTAGTTTGTCCTACACTTATGAAACCAAAGATTCCTTGTGCTTGGTGCTAACCATTATGAATGGAGGGGACTTGAAGTTTCACATCCACAACCTGGGCAACCCTGGCTTTGATGAGCAGAGAGCTATTTTCTATGCTGCCGAGCTGTGCTGTGGCTTGGAGGATTTACAGAGGGAAAGAATTGTGTACAGGTAAGAACAGCATGAACTCCTGGGGCCTGGGGGCCTGTTCATCCTCAGCCTGAGGCTCCCACCGGGCTCCCTCTGGCCACCCAGGAGCCTGGGCAGAAGGGCTGCGGTGGAGCCCTTGGTGGCCATTCGTAGGGTCTGGTCACTCACACTGTTGGGGATATGGTCAATCAGCAGTGGACCTTGGTTTTATTTTTAGTTCTCTTTGATCTCTAGTAGATAAGTTTTATTTGTTAAGTTGATCAAATATAGGCAGTGTAACTCATGTAAGCACGAGAAGAGCCCATTTCCAAAATAGTTCATTTCGGACTGTGGACTCTGTTCCAACAAGATAGTGTAACAATTAAATGTCTCTAATATGTATTTTAATATTTTGCATCTTAGTATTAAGTAAAGAAAATTAAATTTAATTCAATAGGTCTAATTAAATTAGTATGATCAAATATTTAGTTTTAGGGAAAGCAGTCCCTCCAGCCACCCTTTGGGTATGGAGCTCCTGGGCTCTGACACCCTTCTCGACCATTCCCCGTATAGCTCTGTCCCTTCACCTCTGTGCGGACATCCACCTCCGTGTGAGGACCATTCCCTGCAGGCGTTTCTCACCTTGCCCTTTACCCTACATTTCCAAGGGAGACCCCTGCCCTCATCTTCCCCATCCAGTTGGTCACCAGATCACCCCTGAATGTTTCGCTAGTCAGTCTTTAGGGTCACTGGCTTAGTTCATATCTTCCTTAGATTACCTGGCAGGCAGACACTTGAATGGTCTTGCTGATGCCAGTCTTGGCCCGGTTCCTGCTCTGTGAGACCAATGATAGGCCTTCGATCCTGTCATAGCGTCCCTAGCTTGCAGCCCTGTGGGCCTGGCTCTCCTGACCCTGAGGGATGCCGCTCCCCACTGACTTCTCCAGCCCGGCGTCCCGCTGTTTCCCGAGTGGGGACTCTCTGCCTTCGTGATGCACACGTGAGCATCTCAAGCGTCCTCACATCTTCATACCTCTGCACATGCGGTCTGCTTGTCGGAGGCCTTTCTTCACTGCAGCCCCTCTGCCTTCATTCTGAGAAACTGCAGCTCATCCCTAAGTTCCCCACTCCTGATAATGGGGGGGCGTGCTCCCCTTGGGCATCCTCAGAGGACCTGTGCTGTCCCACTGGAGGGCTGGTCACACCAGCCGCAAGCCTCTCAGAAGGCCTTTCTCGGATCCCTATTCCGATGAACTCTTGGCTTTGTCTCACATATCCCAGGGCCACATTATGATCTCTTGAGGGCCAGACACCAGGCCTGGCCACGGGGCTGGTGCAGCCGCCCTTGCGATGTTGAGCAAGGGGTGGACTGCTGCCTTGGGAGCCATTCCTACAGACACAGGCCCTGGTCTGAGTGGAGAATGCCTTGTCACCACACTCACAGGGAGAGACTGGTGGTCCTGAAGCAAGGAACAAGCCTGTAGGAGCTCTGAGTCCTCTTCACTCTGGGAGGACCTTAGAGTTTATTACAGTTCGGTACAGTTAAGCCCCCTCTGCTTGCTTCCCGTGTAAAGACGTGCAGGCATACCTCGTTTTATTGCTCTTCCCTTTACTGTGCTTCACAAATACCGCCTTTTTTACAAATGGAAGCTTTGTGACAACCCTGCACTGAGCAAGTCCTATTGGTGCTACTTTTCCAGCCGCACAGGCTCACTTTATGTCTGCGTCACATGTCGGTAATTCTTGCAGGGTTTCAAACCGTTTCATTATTATACTTGTTACAGTGATCTATGATCTCTGATGTTTCTGTCAGACTTGTTCGGGGGCACCACAGACTGCACTCATATAAGACGGCAAAATTAACCATGCATGTTGTGTGTTCTGACTGCTCCACCGACCGCCTGTTTCCCTCTCTCTCCTTCTCCTTGGGCCTCCCTGTCCCCTGAGACACAGCAATATGGACATTAGGCCAATTAATAACCCTGTAATGGCCTCTAAGTGCTCAAGTGAAAGGAAGAGCCACACATATCTCACTTGAAATCAAAAGCTAGAAATGGTTAAGCTTGGCGAGGAAGGGATGTCTAAAGCCAAGATAGGCCGAAAGGTAGGCCTCTTGTGCCAGAAGTCCACGTTGCAAATGCCAAGGAAAGGTTCTCGAAGGAAGTTGAGAGCGCTACTCCAGCGAACACATGAGTGATAAGAAAGCACAACGGCCTCGTTGCTGATGGGGAGAAAATTTTGGTGGTCTGGATAGGAGATCAAAGCAGCCCCAGTATTCCCTTAAGCCAAAGCCTCATCCAGAGCAAGGCCCTGACTCTCTTCAAGTCCACGAAGGCTGAGGGAGGTGAGGAAGCCGCAGAAGAAAAGTTTGCAGCTCGCAGAGGGGGGCTCATGAGGTTTAAGGAAACACGGAAGTGCCAGGTGAAGCAGCACGCGCTGGTGGAGAAGCTGCAGCAGGTTCGGCAGAAGGTCCAGCTAGGATCGCTCGGGAAGGCGGCTGCTAAACAGACGGTCCGTGGAGACGCGGCAGCCTTATCTGGGGAGAAGAGGTCGCCTGGGACTGTCCTAGCTGGAGAGAAGCCAGCGCCTGGCTTCAGACGTTCAAGGGACAGGCTGACTTCCCTGTTAGGGGCTAATGCGGCTGGTGACTTGAAGCTGAAGCCGGAAAATTCTTAGGGCCCTTAAGAATTATGCTACCTCTCCTCTGCCCGTGCTCTGCAGACGGAACGGCGCGGCCTGGACGACAGCATACCTGTTTACAACACGGTTTACCAAATATCTGAAGCCCACTGTGGAGACCTACTGCTCAGAAAAAAAGGTTCCTTTCGAAATATTACCGCTCGTCGACATCGTACCTGGTCACCCAAGAGCTCTGAAGACGTCCGGCGAGATTAGTGTTGTTTTCATGCCTGCTGATGCAACATCCATTCTGCAGCCCACGGAGCAAGGAGTAATTTTGACTTTGAAGTCATATTTAAGAGACACGCTTCGCAAGGCTGTATTATTTAAGAGACACACCATAGATGGTGATTCCTGTGCTCGATCTGGGTAAATTGAGAATCTTCTGGAAAGGATTCACCATTCCAGACGCCATTAAGAAAATGTTCCCATGGTTCAATGTCAGTACTAACAGGAGTTTGGAAGAAGTGGGTGGCAGCCCTCGTGGAGGACGTTGAGGGGTTCAAGACTCAGTGGAGGAAGTCACTGCAGATGTGGCGGAAACAGCCAGAGAGCTAGAAGTGGAGCCTGGAGAGGTGAGCGAACCGCTGCCCTCTCAGGATAACACTTGAACGGATGAGGAGGTGCTTCTATGGAGGAGCAAAGAAGGGGATTTCTTGAGATGGAGTCTACTCCCGGTGACGATGCTCTGAAGACTGTTGAAATATGACAAGGATTTAGGATATTGCATAACCTTAGTTGATAGGTTGGCAGGGTTTGAGAGGACTGACTCCAGTTTTGAGAGAAGTTCTACTATGGGTAAAATGCTATCAGACAACAGCACATGCTACAGAGAAATCATTTGGGAAAGGAAGAGTCAATCAGTGCAACAAATTTGTTCTCTTGTTTTAAGAAACTGCCACAGACAGACCAACCTTCAGCAACCCCGACGTGATCAGTCAGCGGCCGGCAGCATCGAGCTAAGACCCTCCACCAGCAAAAGGATCACAGCTTGTGGAGAGCTCAGATGATGGGTAGCAGCAAAGCACTTTTTAATTAAGGCATTCATTGTTTTGGGGGCGCCTGGGTGGCTCAGTCGGTTAAGCATCTGCCTTTGGCTCAGATCATGATCCCAGGATCCTGGGATCAAGTCCCGCATCAGGCTGCCTGCTCAGTGGGGAGTCGGCTCCCTGTGCCTCTGCCCCTGCTCGTGCTTTCTCTCTCTCTCAAATAAATAAATAAAATCTTTTTAAAAAGGGATTTAGGGGATTTAGGATTGGGACCAATCCCCTATATCTCTAAGGTGTGCCAGGTTACTGGATTGGTTAGAAGATTTTCATTTCCCTTCAACCTTTCACCTCAGGCCCCCACTTGCCCTCAGACAGAGCAGAGGAAAGACATGGGTTGGCCAGCACTTAGTGGGAACTTAACGCATGTCCACAACACCCACCATTAGGAGGTGCCCACTGATGGATGAATGACCGATGACTTTCAGCCTCTGATGGTGCATCCCGTCCCCTAGGGACCTGTCAAGTATCACTTTCATCTTTGAAATTCTTTCTTGTCAGAGGTTGCCTCTTGACAACCTTCATCAGACCAGGTGCCAGAAAGATGACCTTTCTTTTTGCAGAGGGACTGTACAAATAAGAATGCTCTACTTAATTTCGGCAATCTGAGGTCAGAGAGGAGGAGGCCCTCAGGCCGGGCTTTGAGCCATCCTTAGGGTATAGCATGTTCGCGGTCAGAAGGAGAGCCTGGGGGCCCCTCACCCTCGTCTGCGGGAGCTGCCCCAAGCGAGCCGGGCCGTCCCGTGCGGGCCTCTCGGAAGCACCAGCACAGATGTTGCGGGTGAGCAGGTAGACCTCATGGGCTCCCGGAATCCTCTAGGATACGTGCTTTAAACTGGGCCCAGGCCTGATCAGGGAAGGCTTTCGGGAGGAGCTGGGACTCACATGGCAGCTCGGATAGATGGCTAAGATCGAAGTAGAGGGTGACGGGATTGTTCTTCCATGGGAGACGTGCGCCGTGTTTGCGTTCTGGAGAAAGTGGGCAGAGGAGTCCACATAAACCAGAGTGGTCCTAAAGACAGGAGGATGGAAGAAGCAAACCTGTTGGCTTTCTGTTGCCCACCAGGCCCTCGGCTGTGCCCTTCGCATCTCTTATTTATTTGGAGAAAAGGTTAAGAAGTTGCTAAAATGCCATAGCATCCTCAAGACCCTTTTATTCCAGGTATGGTTTTCCTGGAGCACTTCATCTTTTTTGGTCTGCCGTCCTCTGCTGTTTGTTCTGATAAACTGCCTGAAAGAGCATCACGACAAAGCGCAGAAGTGGTGCTGGGCTCCGCGGCACAGGCAGGGAGGCGGCGTCCGTGTGAGTGGCCTGGG